GGATTCCATCTCCATCTTAAAGCTGAAATGTCCACTAATTTGAGATGAACCTGTCTCTAGGAAACACATTTGTAATTTGCCTTGGGAGCTGCAGGGAGTAGATCCCTCTCTGGACTAGGTTGGGCACAGGCCAGGGGTCTGGTGGGCATTCGTGGGGCAGCAGGTCTGAGAAAGCTGTGGTTCCACTGAGAGACCAGAAGAGCATGTGTAGTTTAGAGGGAGGAGGGACACAGGGGCTCCTGGATTTAGGATGGGGATCTGTCCCTATAAACGCACCCTAAATTCAAAATATCCTAAGGTGAAAGTGCATGGGGGTACATGTGACCTACCAAACATCACAGCTAACACAGCACACATGATCATGGGGCTGACGGGCAGCTGTAGTTTGCTGCCATCTCCCAACATCTCCAGAGAGAACTGACTGTGAATAGTCTGGGAGAAGAAAATAAAGACTCAAAGTTTCTACTGAATGTAGAGTGCTTTAAATTTTTTCTTACAGGTATATATGATATGTTGTGCTTATTTACTGCCCTTCGTCCATTTCCCTTTTCCTGTCCCTTAGGGTCCATTAGTTTCCTTCATTCCCCTAGACAATTTCTTTCATTTAATATATACATACATTAAAAAAATGTTTATGTGTATGTGTGTATTTCCTACATGTGTGTGGTGCACCCAAGTGGTGCAATACCTATGGAAGACAGAAGAAGGTGTCAGATACCCTGGAACTGGAGTAATGGACAGTTGGTAGATGCCATGTGGGTGCTGATATTCAAACCTGAGTCTTCTGCAAGAACAGTCAATGCTCTTAACCTCTGAGCCATCTCTCCAGCCCTATATGTATTTAAAAATATTTTAATTATTATTATTATTATTATTATTATTATTATTATTATTATTATTATTTTGGTCTTTTAGGCTGACCTTGATCTCACAGAGACCTGCCTGCCTCTGCCTCCTGAGTGCTGGGATTAAAGGCATGCGCCACCACACCCAGCTTATTATTATTTTTATTCTATGTGTATGAGTGTATTGCCTGCATGTATGTAAGTGCACCCATGTCCTGCAATGCCCACAGAAGTCAGAAGAATGTGTCAGATCCCCTGGAACTGGAGCTACAGATGGTTGTTAACCACCATGTGGGTGCTGGGAATCGAACCTGGGTCTTCTGCAAGAGCAGTCAGTGCTCTTAACCACTGAGCCGTCTCTCCAGCCCCTCTAGCCCTATACATATTTTTATGTGACTACATAGAATCTAGGAGCCACACATGAGAGAATGTATGTTGGATGTGTCTTTGTGAGACTGGTTTAATTTGCTTAATACTCTGTGAATGTGGACTGCTTTTTTTTTTTTTTTTTTTTGGTCTTTTGAGGCAGGGTCTCCCTGTACCCCTGGAACTCACTGTGTAGACCAGGATGGCCTCAAAGTCACAGAGAATAGCCTGCCTCTGCCTCTGCCTCTGCCCTGCCCCTCCTTCCCTCTCTCTCTCCCTCCCTCCCTCCCTCCCTTCGTCCCTCCTTCCCTCCTCTCGCCCTCCCTCCTTTCCAAACAAACCCACTCAACTCCCAAACAAAGAGCAACAACAAAACATCTACCTCCCTATTACCAAACTTGATAAACCAATTATGTTGAAACTGTTTGGTGGGGGGCGGAGGCCTTTTTGAGACAGGGTCTCCTTTAGCCCCAGCTGGCCTGGAACTTGCTATGTAGACCAGGTTGGTCTCGAAAACACAGAGATCCTCCTGCCTCTGCCTCCCAAGTGCTGGCCAGTCTTGTGTGTTTTATAATCTCTATACAGATGACATCAATGATGCAGAGTTTTAGCCACCTGCTTCTTTGTCCACCATGTTTGAAAGGCTCATCTATCCTTAGTGTGGATTCATTTTCACCATTGCATAATGTTCCACTGTCTGCAAATACCACACTTTTGATATCTGCTCTCTTGTATGCCTGTGACCCTAGCACATATGTAATATATATATGCGAACAGCATATGTTCTTAACTGCTGAGCCATCTCTCCAGCCCTAAAGATTTATTTTTGATTATATATATGCATATATAATATGTATATATTTACATATATAAAATATGTATATATAAATATAAATATGTATATATATACATATACATATTATTTATGGTGCTGGGGATGGAAGCACGTCTGACTCATGCCAGGCAAGCACTGCCACTTTGAACTACGCCTTTGGCTACTTACATTAATTGCTATTTGGATGTGAAATCTCCCAGAGGCTCACATGCTTGAACACTTGGATCCCAGTCGGTGGTTCTGCTTTGGGAGGTTGTGGAGCCTGGAGGAGATGAGTCCAGCTGGTGGAAGTGAGTCTCTAGGAAGAGCCTATGAAGGTTATAATGGGCCTTGTTCCAGTCTGCCACCAGGAGCTCTGCCTTGCCTTCACTGCTAGATGGACGGAAATCTCCCCAAACCGTGAGCCAGCTTATTCTTATAAATCTTTCCTCCATCAAAACTGCTTCTGTTAGTATTTTTGCCACAGTGATGAGAAATAATGATTACATTAGTATATTAGCTATTTTTTCAGTGCTGAGGATTGAACCCAGAGCCCCATGCATGCCACGCAGGTGTTCTATCACTGAGCTTAATAATTATTTATATTTGTGGCATATCATGTGACATTTCAACACATGCAAACATTGTGCAATGCTTAAATTAGGTTAAACATATCTGTCTCCTCTACCCTTTACCATTTCTCTCTTTTTAAGATTTATTATTTTTTATTTATATGTGAATATATCTATGTATGCAAATGCACATGTGTGTGGGTATCTGTAGAGGCCAGAAGAGGGCGTTAGATCCCCTGGAGCTGAAATTACAGGTAGTTGTTAGGCACCTGATGTAGGTGCTAGGAACCAAATTTGAGTCCTCTGGAAGAGCAGCAAGTACTCTCAACCCACTGTGCCATCTCTCCAACCCTCTTATCATTTCTCAATGATGAAAACATTCCAAATCCTGCTTTCTACCCTTTTGAAACGTTATTGTTATCTACAGTCATGCTCTGTGCCGCAGCCACCAGAGCCCCCTGCTCTTGTCTAACTGTAACTCAGCACCCATCCAGGAAATGCATTTCTATCATCTCTCTGGTTTTCTCTCTGCTGTTTGAAGTTCTCATTAGCTGGAAGTTGGACCTCCTGCACTGGTAGTGTTTTTCTGTTTTCCTCTCTTGTTTTTGACCTTTTCCTCTTCTCTATCTCTCTCTTTCTCTGAGACAGGGTCTTATGTAGCCCAGGCTGGCTCCCACTCACCATGTAACTGAGGATGACCTTGAACTTCTTCTCCTGCCTTCTCCTCCTTCACTTCCTGAGTGCTGATGTACTACCATGTCGTTTTATATACTGTGTGTTGGGCAATACTCTGCCAACTGAACGCCATGCCCAGCACTTTTCTATTGTTTTTGTTTACTGAGATATTCTTCCTCTCTCCTCTTCCATCCCTTCTCACACATTTTAAAATTTGTTATGGTTCACTGGGTGTGGTGGCACATGCCTTTAGTCCCAGCACTTGGAAGGCAGAGGTAGGCAGATCTTTGTGAGTTCGAAGCCAGCCTGGTCTACATAGTAAGTTCCAGGCCAGCTGGGGCTACAGCAAGATGCTGTCTCAAAAAGACAAAAAAAAAATTGTTATGGTCCACACAGATTTGTGTGTGTGTGTGTGTGTGTGTGTGTGTGTGTGTGTGTAGGTCAGATGTCAACCTCAAATGTGTTGTTTCTCTGGTGTTCTCTATCTTATATTTTGAGACAGGGTCTCTCATTGGTTGGTTGGCCTGGAACTCACTAAGGAGGCTAGGCTGGGGGGCTAGCAGGCCCCAGGGGTCCATCTGTCTCTGCCTCCCTAGTGCTGGGATTACAAAGGCATGCCACCACAGTCAACTTTTCTGCACAGGTTCTGGGGATCAAACTCAGGTCTGTATGCTTGGGCTCTGGGTGCTTTTGGTGTCCTTGGTTGCTCCCACTGAATGAAAAACAAGGCTGGCCAGGCTGCTCTGTGCACATGATGGGGCTTGTGAACCATGAGCCTTCCCAGTGGAGGCTGTGTATAGATCTGCTGTCTGTGAACTCTGAAATACCAGGATCCATGTATCTGTTCTTTTTCATCAGTTCCCAGAGAGAAATTCAACAGTGTCCTGCTTTGGGGGAGAGTGGGTAGGGGATAGGTCTAGCTACTGGCAGGCAAAGGGCTGTTTTCCTACTGACCTTCCTCACTTTCAGCAAGGGACCTCACCCATCCTTTGGTCTCTAATTCAGAACCTTTCACCTCTGGCCAGGGTCAGGGAAGGGTAGTCATCAGTCCACCAGGGGGGTATGTATGACTTTCTTCCTTTCTTTTTGTAGTATTTGGGGTTGAGCCAAGGGGCTCTTCTTGCCTTACAATCCTAGCTCCTGTGACCAATTCTTTTAAAAAAACAAGTACTTTTCAGGTCCGTTCTAAACTCCCTCCATTAGGGAGAGCTGGTCCCCCCAAGTTCTGAGCCTTCTAGGGAAACTGCAGAGCAAGCAGGTGGCTCTGTAGTTGGCTCTTCCTTGGTCAGCCTCTTGGGAGTTGGGGAAGCTGGTATTACACACATTATACTGTCCCATCTTTCAGAGTTTTCCAAATAGCAATCCTCTCTCCTGTCCCTTTCATCACTGTGGTTTAAGCCATTTTCATTCCTTTATGTCATTTTAGTGGGGTTTTGGGGGACAGAAGATGCTGCATATACTCAGTCTGACATGTGCGACCAGAGGTCAATGTCCATTTAGATAACACTTCTGCATAGGCAGTGTAGCCCATTCTGAGTACTTTTTACATAGATAGATTTTTCCGTTCAGCGTTAGGGTTGTGAACTCTGTTAAGACACTGATTTAATTTATTCCTCTTACTGAGGCTTAGGAAGGTTCCAGTGAATCAGTGGTGTGAATTTTTCTTCCATCTACTACTCTCCTGGCACAGCTCAGAACACAGTGACTGCGGTCAGTTGATCATCACATTGGCTCAATGCAAATTTCTGTGTTTATTCGGAAGCATTACACGCCACAGGGAAACAGTGAGTTTCTTTACTTTCTGCTAGCAGCAAGGGCAAAAAGGCTAATGATGGCAGCCTTGGAGAGAAAGCCCTTCAAGGACTGGGGATGGGCAGGGTGTGAACACTGAGAGAGAGAGAGAGAGAGAGAGAGAGAGAGAGAGAGAGAGAGAGAGAGCGAGAGAGAGAGAGAACACACACCGAGAGAGAGAGAGAGAGAGAGAGAGAGAGAGAGAGAGAACACACACACTCTTTCTAGGGAAGGGTTTTCTAGAAGCATTTGTACTTTGGATGCCAACAGGAACTTACTAGAGAAAAGAAGCATTTTACAATATTCTGGGAGCTGTGTGCAGGCCTGAGCAAAAATCAGGAGCTAAGTTAAATGTAGCCCTGGGGCTAGCTTGGGGAAGGAGGGCTACAACTTCTGCCTCCCTCAGCTGAAGGAAGAGGGAAAGGGCAGCTATCTCCTTCCACCTGCTCCACACTCTATGGTTCTGTTCCATCTTCTGCGGGGTCACACTTGGGGTTAGACTTCTTTTCAACTGTTAGCACAAAGATGGAGAAAGCCCTGTGTGGCTGCCCCACTGAAACTGCAGTGCATATAAGAAGGCTCTTCCAGCCCAACACCCAAACAAACTGAAACACGGGAGCAACTGGGGTGAAGCTGGGGGACAATAAATAAAGGCCAGGGCTGAGTAAGGTGGATAAGGAGGTTCTGTTCAGGAGGGCGCAACAAGGCACTGGGTGGGGGCAAGTAGATTCTACCCCCAAACACTGGTTTGTTGAGTTGGAGTTCAAGGGCATAGGGTGCTAGTGAGGCCTTAAGGATCTTCAGGAAAGAGCCAGAAGCCTGGCTCCGTTTTCTCTCTCAGAATCTTCTAGACTGTCTGCTCCATGCACCAAACACACTTCAGAGCAGGGTTACCGAGGGTTGCTGGGAGGCCACATCAGCAGCGGGGAGTTGCCCGTGTGTGTCTTTTGCCTTTAGAAGAGAGGAAAAAGGCCAGTGTACAGTGAGTGGAGGTGCTTCCTCCATGGGGACTGTCTGGTTCTGGGATGAAATGGAGGTGAGGGCAGGTCCTGCCTGAAATACTCCCAGCCTTCCACACTGAGGGGATCGGGGATGGCCTAGGGACAGAGGGAGCCTGTAGAGCAGCCAGCACCATGCCACTGTGCTGTGTGCTCACAGGTGTGCCACCTGTAGCCCTATGCTTCAGTCTGCTGGTCCAACCCAGGTCCTCGATGTAGTAGCTTGGGCTGCTGGATGAGCACTGGACCCAGGAATACGCAATCTCTAGGCCAATCCTTGCTAAGAAGTGTCTTTAACCCCAGAATGCTATGCTCTGGGTCACATGACCTCCACTACCATTATTAAGACATTTCTGGAGGACCCACTGAGGTCAGATGGCTCCTGACACCCTGTGAGGGATACGTCAGTGAGAACAGAACTCCTATAGAGGCCTCATGGCCGATGTCAACTGGTTTTGACCTCTGGCACTGTAGGGTCTCACCAATGGTGTGTCCAAGCTCACACGGCTGAGGGTGCCTGAGCTGGGACTAGAACTCAGCCTCCCCTTGTGGAGGACTTCAGGAGGCTACAGAAAGGGACAGGGTCATCTCCCCGGGGACCTGCCTGCCACTATCTCCATCCCAAATGCCCTGTGGCTTCTGGGGACTCATGGAACAGGAGAGGGAGGAGGGAGGAGGGAGGAGGGGATGGGATGGCTGCCAGGTGTACACAGCTACTGGAAGGACATCCTTGCAGTGGGGGCAGATCAGCTGTTGTCTTATGCATATGCACCTGTGGGCGGGCCTCTGGGGCAGGGTCACCCAGCTCAGCCTCATCCTTAAAGAAGCCTGGGGGGCGGTGTCCATCCTGCACATGCTGCTTTCTTTGGCTTAAGAAATTCCCCCATTACATGATGCTCCAAGGCTGGGCCAGGGGGGCATGAGGCAGGAGGGCTTTGGTTTCCACATCTACCACATGGGTATGTCAAGGCTCCTGGCTACTCCATCTACAGGATGAAAGCTGACTTTGGAGTGCTGGGCTCTGTGCTCACAGCTCTGTGCCCTGGCTCCAAAGATCCCTGAATCTCCCTCCAGGATTCAGGCTGCACTGCCAAGCTTTTGTGTTTGGTGGACTGGTTTGGCTCAGCTATGGGCCAAGTTTCTGAAGAACAAGGACAGATCCCACTGCTCCCAGCCCAGACTGGCACATGATGGGACTGCTTGCCTGACACAGAGTAGGTACACTTAAACTGGGAGTTCTAGTGATCTATGGAGACAGAAAAGATTGACAAGTGACATTCGTTATAGGGCAGAGGATGGTGACACCATTGTTGTAATTACTATGAATGGACAGGGATAGTTGCCATTACCATTATGAGTCCCTGTGGTCAAGGCTGGCAGAGATGGGTCTGGCTGATGTTTGTTCCTCACTGTCTGGCATGGTACTCAGTAAACATGGAGAACTGAAAATGTCACCTACCACTGTGCAGTTGTGGAGGTGTGAGAAGGGAGTGGAGCCAGTGCGGGAGGGAAGGGAAGAGGGTGAAGATGCTAGACCAGCAGTGGGGATAGGGTACTTACCAGGGACCCTGGGCTCAGGCCGAGGAGGAGTGCTTGCCTGTGGGTCTATACAGCCCACACCAGTCTCACTGGCCAGGCTGCTCTGGCTTCCTGAGAGGTGGCTGGGTGGGTGGGCAGGCCCTATCCTGGGCAACCCCATGCTGCCACCTGCAAGAGACCACATGTGGACGTGAACAGAGACAGGACTATTTGAGCCTAGTAAGGAACTGGCCAAATCTTACTGGAACTGGGGTTGGTAAATACAGACTGTCTAGTAGTCCCCACCCTGGGAGCTGTCCCTAGCCACATGGCTGCCTGTTCTAGCATGTTCTAGCCAGACCCTCACCCTCTGTCTTTGCTGACTGACCCAAGCTACAAGAAGGCAACAGAATGGGCCTTAGGCTGTTTCATTAAGTAACAAGTTACTCACATGAAAATTTGCAATTAGTAGCTTTTCTCACCTTTGCAGAGTGAAGGTTGGGGGAAGGGGATGTGTGCCAGGTAATCCAGTGAAGGAGCAGGGGCAGGGGATATTATGTTATTACTTGCTGCCTTTATCCACTAACAAATCCTAAATCTGTGTGTGTGTGTGTGTGTGTGTGTGTGTGTGTGTGTATGCGTGTGTGTGTTATGAAACTAGAAAGGGAATCATGAAAGGGGAGGAAGAGACCTTAGAGAGACAGGAAATAGGCAGAGTAATAGAATACATCTTTTTTTTTTTGGTCTTTTTGAGACAGGGTCTCCCTGTAGCTCCAGTTGCCTGGAACTCGCTCTGTAGACCAGGCTGGCCATGAATTCACAGAGGATCCGCCCACCTCTGCCTCCTTAGTGCTGGGATTAAAGGCCTGCGCCACCACGCCCAGCTGGAATACATCTCTTAAGCAAGCAGAAGGGCTGAAGGAATGGCTCAGTAAGTGAAGGTGCTGGTCACCAAGCCTGACGACCTTAGATTCCCGGAGAGGACCCAGGAGAGAACCAGGAGAGGACCAACTCCTCAAAGTTGGAAACTTGTTCTCTAACCTAACGTAGAGAAAGGGAGAGGGAGAGGGACAGGGGGAGGGAGAAGGAGGGAGGGAGGGAGAGAGAGAATCCTCAGTCAAGATGGAGCTAGTCCTGCCACCTGTGGAGTGGAGCTTGTGAGGCTTCACCCCATTTCTTCCCATCTCTGAGTCCTGCTTGGTCGCAGCTGAGAGCTAGTATGAAGGGAGGGGGCAAGAGCCATCATATAGAAGGATGGAGAAGCCTGCCCTGAAACCAAGCCTGGCAACTAAGATTGGCAGGCGATTTTCATGACATTGTCCTATTGTAGACTCTGGGTGTCCTATTGTAGACTCTGGGCTGCAGGTGCCCAGTCCAGGGAGAGTTTCCATCTCTTGCTTATCTCCCCCTATTGATACTGATCACTTGGAAAACTGTACTGAGGATGCTTCTGAGGCTACATCAGGGCTCTGTGGGAAAAGAATGTCATGATCAACTAATCATGTCTGCATGGCACTGAGGAGTGGTAGTGTCAGGCATTTACCATCTCTGATTTAGTCAAATTTTCATTCCAAACAGGAATTCCTTCCATATCACCTTGACTGGAGCTTTCACAGTCTTAGCTCCAGGGCAGTACCTCAAGGCATTTCATTCCAGTTTGGGGCAGATATCATAAGGCTCTTTCTACACTAAATAAGCCTCCCTGAAACTTCTTTGAAGGTCCCAGTCCTGACCCAGGAGTACATGAATGAAGCTGGTGCTTTTCTCAGAAGGTTCTTCATGGTTTTAAAGGAAAGAAAGCCACCTTCCCATGCCCTTTCAGGGCCTTCTCTGTTCTCACCTCCATGCCAGAGTTAACCATGACACAGAATAAGCAAGTGTGGCAATACGACACTGCTCCACTTCCCTGTGGTAAAGAGAAGGCAGTGCCAGTTAGGCAATGGCACATGCTGGGGACCCCACTGCAGTGGCATAGCAGAAGGAAGCAGGTTCAGGGAACTTTGTGTCTAATTTCCAAATCCCTTTGTTGTTCACAAGGCAAAAATCTCGGCTGGTCAATGCTCACTGGGTATTTGCTAGGTAGCAATCAGTGTGCACAGAGGGCTTGGCCTGGCCAGCCCAGCCTCTTACAGTCCTGCCTTGCTTCTCATGCTTCGCATATGATGAGCTGGCTCTGCTGAGACTTTAGATCCTGGTGCTGGTGGGCCAGCTCCCAGGCTCACTCCTTCCTGGGACCTGGGGATACTTCCTGGAGAAGCTGCCACCAAGGGAACAGCAGAGCCAATAGCACTTTGGACTCTGGAAACAAGCAGTTGACTTTTTGCCCTTACCTGAGTCTCCCCTGGGCTTGTCTCCTTTTGTATCCTTGACTCCAGTGGGCGGGAGTCTGTCCTCCAGGCTGGAGGAGCTGAGATCCGAGTCACTGTCACTGTCGCTGGAAACCACTGAAACAGATACAGACAGAGGAGGTCATGACAACTAGCAGTGGCTGGGACTTGGGGCCAGAGCAGGTATCCCTCCTGCCACCACAAAGCGGCTGAGAACTTCAGCTAGCCTTTTTGTTTGGGGCATGAGAAACAATGGTGTATATGGAGGTGCTCCTTGCCATCAATCAGAGGTGAAACCTAGTGGGAAGAGGCAGATGTGGACCCCACATAGCCAGCACCAGCAGGGATGGCTCGCCCCTGGGTCAGTCATCCATCCCTCTGGCAGAGCTGGAGCCCCTTTGTCTGGTAGGAGTGGATTACCACCTTAGATGCAGGCACTGGGGCTCTAAGGCCTCCACCTGGCAGTGCTAGATGCCCAAGGCCCATCCATGGCTATAGAGAGAATTTCTGCACCGCCGACCCTTAGGCAGGCACTTTTTCTGTTATTGTTGGCTTTCTTTCTTTTTAGACAGGGTCTCACTATTTAGCCCCAGCTGTCCTGGAACCCGCTACATAGACCAGGCTGGCCTCGAACTCACAGAGATCTGCTTGCCTCTGCCTCTTGAATACTGGAATTAAAGGAGTTGGCCATCACACCTGGCTAGTAGCATCATAGGCAAAGCTTTACATACATGAGTTCACTGAAGATTCAGAACAACTCTAGGAGATAGGCAATATTGTTACCCATCTCACAGGTGAGGAAATAGGCAATATGTCCAGGGTAGTCAGTGAAGCTGGACTCCTGACCCTGGCAGGTTGCTGTGGAGTGATGCCCCTAACCACTTTCATTCCATGGGAACTACATGGGAGGTCCTCATCACAGCCCATCAGCTATGCACAGTGGGGTGTTGTGAATGCTGAAGGATCTGGGCTGACAGCAGGAGGCCCTGTGAGGGCTCCAAGGGAGCTCAGTGAACACCCTCTTTTCTGCACTTGACACCATATTTGGCTGGTTCATCAACAGTGGGTGTCATAATACAGGATATATTCATCCTTCAAACATTCTATTTTAATTTTAAGCAGGGATGTACATCTGTGTGCCAACCTTCTGAGGCAGGCCCCAGTGTTTCGTTGAGAATGGGCTCACCTGGCTTAATCCGTACCATGGCCTGTGACTCTGGTTCAGGTCTTTAAACTGGATTAGGGGCTTAAAGACCCTGGCAAAGAAAACTGACTGCAAAATCTTTCTAGATTTTTCCATCTCTTCCTTTTGCTTTTTATAGTTGCCCTGCCCACATCTAATGCAATAGATTTTTTGTTTAAAAAGCCAGCTGCTTCTATTGAGACTTTTACAAAGTCTTGGTTTTAATGAAACAGCTCTGGTTTCTTTTCTGACTTTCTTCAACAATTTATATATCATGCAATTAAGTGATATGAACATAAGAACAAGTAGGTATGGGATCAAAGGTAACCAGCTCTCTCACACTGGTGACTGACTCAGTGGCTGGGGCATGGGGCATGAGCAGATGGAGGGGGTAGTGTGTTTGCTTTTGAAATGAAAAATGCTGGTTCTGAGGTAGATGGGTAGGTTGTGGTCTTCATGTAGACACTGTACTAGGTGCTTAGCAAGCATGTCTTCCTCCTCCCAACTCCTGAGCTGAAGATCCCATTTGGGGGAAAATGAGATTAGACAGGATCAATCTCTATCAGGGGGCTAACAGGTTTCATCTGATCCACCAAGCTCTTTCTAGAGCAGTGTGTTCTGCATTCTGAAATTGCACTAGGGTACTACAGCAGTTAGGGAAATCGACTGTGGGGACATGTGGGAGAAATGGGTCTTCTGCCTGGACCTGGAACTTTCTAGAAAGTCTTTAGCTTATGCCACCTTTTAGCTGAAGGGCTCATAAGTCACAAAAACAAGCAGCCAGAGTTGGAGCTGGCCGACAATTTCAGCCTTAAGAGATCCTTAGCTCTGGGTTGCATAGCCAACTGGCCAGCACATCATAGGACCTGTCAGTTTTGCCACATAAATGAATTTTTTTTTTTTTGAGACAGGGTCTCATGTAGCCTAAGCTGACTTTGAGCTGCTGTGTAGCCAAGGATGACTTTGAACTTCTGATCCTCCTGCTTCCATTACCTGAGTGCTGGGATTACAGGTGTGGACCACCATGTTTATTTATTTATTTTTGGTCTTTTTGAGACAGGGTCTCCCTGTAGCCCCAGCTGTCCTGGAACTCACTATGTAGACCAGGCTGGCCTTGAACTCACAGAGATCTGCCTGCCTCTGCCTCCTGAGTGCTGGGATTAAAGGTGTGCGCCACCATGCCTGGCCCCATGTCTAGTTTTTTTAAAAAAGATTTTTATTATTTAAAAAAATTATATGTGTGTCTGAGTGTGAGTGCAGGTGCTCTTGGAGGCCAGAGGTATTGGATCCCCGTGGAGTTGGAGTTACAGGTGGTTATGAGCATCTGATGTGGGTGCTGGGAATTGCCCTTGGGTCCTCTGCAAGAGCAGTCTGTGCTCTTAACTGCTGAGCCATCTCTCTAGCCTCCACCATGCCTAGTTTTATGTGATGCCAAGGCTCAAACCTAAGTCTTTGTGTATGCCAGGCAAACACTCTACCAACTGAGCTGCCTTACCAGCCCCATTGCTAGATCTTGAATCTGTCGCCTCCTTACCATCATCACTGGTCTTGCTTCCTTTGCTTAAGGCCTTTCCTCCTTCTGTCAGGATATTAACAATGTCCCACCCATGGATTCACAGTCTGGGATGCTCCAGCAGACACAGATCCTATTTAAAGACCCCCAGCACCTATAGGGCCAAGCCAATACCCCTGTCCACCAGAGAGGCTCCGGTGGACCTTTCTGTCAACCACCCCTTCAGGGTGGGACCAGAGTAACCAGTGATGACCATGTGACTGGTCTTGGCTTTCCTTCCTTCTTCTGCCATAGGCTCCTGCCTTTTTCTCTCTGGTTCTTTCTCTCCTATGCTTACTGGCAAGACTTCTGCTTTGGTTTTTTGTGATACAGAACAAAGAGGAAGTAGAGATGAGGCAGGATGGGGTTCATGAACCCCTTCATGATTTGTGAAAACTGCAGGAAAGAACCTTATTTTGTAGTTCTTTTCAGGTCTTGACTGAACATGAATCCACGGAGACCAGACCCCATAGGCATCAGTGTTACAAGCACTTACATTGTTTTGATTTACTGCCTGGCTGACTAAACACCAATCCTATGGGTCCCCAGACACAGGAGGTGGGCAGGAAGTGGGGCTGCCTGTTAGATATTTGAAACAAGTAGCTCCCCATGCCCTCCTTAAGGGGCACAAAGGAATCCAGGATGGCAGGTAGCTAATGCTTCCCCAGCATGGGGGTGGGACAGTCCCTATGAAGACTGACTTCCACATTAGTCTCCTCATGTCTCTGGAAGAGATGTTCAAGAATGATCTATCAATCCTGTCCTAGAATGTTCTCTCTTGCCCACAACTGATCTGCAGGACTGATACAGTTAGGGACTGGGCTGGACACAGGGCTCTGTGATGCTGAGTGATGCCTGCATCCCTTGGTGCCACTGGGTAGACACCAAGGGGTCAGCAGGGATGGTGGGGTTGGATATCCCAAGAACTGGTTATGGTGGCCAGCTCAATGACCCCATTTTTCCACCCCTTGCATTCTGTCATCTATTGTACATGTCTCAGAGGTAGGCTTGCGAGCAGGCTCAAGTTGCTGGACAGGTATGGAGAGTGGCATGTCTTGTCCAATACAGTAGCCCTAGAGGTGAGGTAAAGGTGCCATATTGCCTGGTCCCAAGGATGCCTGTGCTGCACAAAGGCTAAAAAAAAAAAATCCCAGAAAGCTTCCCTAAGTTACTGTTATTTGACTTCTTTGTCTCCTGTGACAGACCCTAAGAGGCTTAGTGAAGGAAAAAGGGGAACAGCCTCTGATGACAACTGAGGTCACAATAGGGTCATAAGGCAAGGTCTAGCAAGCTACTGAGCAAGACTTGCTTCTTTCAGACATGCTGTCTGTTGGCCTAGCCTCTTTGTTCCATGTGCCCAGGGCTTTAAGATGGATCAGGCCTTGGCATACAAGTCTCTCTCTCTCTCTCTCTCTCTCTCTCTCTCTCTCTCTCTCTGCATACACAGAGGCCAGAGGTTGAGTGGTGTCTTCATCTGGGCATGGGGGCACATGCCTTTAATCCCAGCACTCAGGAGGCAGAGGCAGGTGGATCTCTGAGTTTGAGGTCAGTCTGGTTTATATAGCAAGTTCTAGGCCAGCCAGGACTATATACTGACATGTTGTCTCAAACAAAAAACGCAAAACAACCAAACAAAAAAGACATTGGGTGTCTTCTTCCACATCATCATCATTATTACTATTTGGGTTTTATTTGTGACAAAATCTCACTATGTAGTCCTGGCTGGCCTGGAACTTTCTATGTAGACCAGGCTGGCCTCAAACTCACAGATACCTGCCTGCCTCTGCCTCCTGAGTGCTGGGATCAAAGGTATGTACCACTATACCTGGTCTATCCACTTTATGTTTTCAGACAAGTTCTTTCACTGAATCTGGAGTTCATTGGTTCAGCAAGACTAGCTCACCAGTAAGCTCCTGGGATCTTCTTGTCTCTGCCTTTCCAGTGGAGGATTACAGGTGTGTGCCACTATGGGAGGCTTTTGACAAGGGCACTGAGGATCTGAATTCAGGTCCTCATGCTTGTACAGCAAGCACTTTACCAAATGAGTCATCTCCCTAACCCCATGTCGGGGAGTTTTAAACTGGGGTAAGGCCATGGTGTCCAGGTCTTTGTTCTGCAGACTCAAATCCCATAAAAAAAAAATTATTTAAGCCGGGTGTGGTGGCACACACCTGTAATCCCAGCACTCGGGAGGCAGAGGCAGGTAGATCTCTGTGAGTTTGAGGCCAACCTGGTCTCCATAGTTCCAGGTCAGCTGGGGCTACAGGGAGACCCTGTCTCAAAAGGACCAAGAATTTTTCTAAAATTTATTTTATTTCATGTATATGAGTGTATTGCCTGCATGTATGTAAGTGTACCCGTGTTGTGAAATGCCCACAGAGG